CTTTTTATTATTATTATTGTTATGAGTGAAAACCTAAAAAAACTGATTGTTAATGTCAACAAACAAAAGGATGCACTAAAGAAGAATGGAATCACAGTGGATGGAGTGCATTATGCTGTGAGATTTGAAGGTAAGTAAATTTATTTCACATAATAATTAATAAGGTATTTTTTAGTACCATAATATACAATCCAAGCAAATGCCTGCATGTACATTGACTTCTTTTTAAAAATTTATATCTACAGTTATACTCAATGACCTGAAGGCGCCGCCCTCTATCTTTTGCTGGAACAAATACGGAAAGCAAACTTTCAGCTTGGGAAACAAGGAACTGAAGTAGAGTGTTGCTTTCTCTGCAAAGCATTGAGGGTATGTGGATATATTCAAAATCTCTGAGTCAAAAAATTCTACTATGCAGGTTTTGACCTTACCAATGACCAACTTACCAATATATATTTTCAGTTTTGCTGGGTAAAATGTCTTAGTAAAAACTAGCTATGAATAATGGCTATTTTTATTGTTGCTTTATTACGAATGTAATTGCAATCTTGGTCCGCATACAGTTTGTTTGGAAAACTTTAGCATGTCCAAGGCCATTATTGGAGGGTAATTTAGTCATAGTTTTGGTTTACTAAGAATTCTCCGATGATACTTGTTGAGGCATGCAGCCCTTGATTATTCATGAATTTCAGCATTTGTAGTTGTCGTTTTGAATTTACAGTAACTTATAAAAGGCATTCAAAACAAGGTTATCTCAACACAGTTAAACTCTATTCAAAAAACTAAATTCCCTGGTATAGTGAGTGAATCTCTTCATCCCAACATGTATAGCTTAATAAGTATGTTTTCTATAAAAGATTAACTTTTTATATAGGCCTCATTTTAGCAATAATATTTTGTAAATTAAGCCTTGCATTTTGTGAAAGGGGAAGTTCCACTGCATGGAAAAGAAAACAAAAAGCTTTTTTTGGACAAATGTGGTGTTTAATGCCCCTGTCTATAAAATGTTGGCAATTATCCTTGTCTTGTTTTACTAGAGAGCACATATTATTTTCCCATAATAATATACTACAGTCTTCCTGTACTGTAGGTGTGTCAATGTTGTAGGGGCACTGTCATAAAAGACTGAAAACCTGTCGAGTAAAATACTTGAGTTTGAAATCTATAAAACTGTTAAGTACCACTTCAGGGGAGATATCTGCTACAACAAAATAATGAATCTTCCTTTTTCTAGTTTCAGAGGCATCCATGATGTCTTAGAGTTCCTTCCTGAAGAGGATTTATCGTCTATTAATCTCTGCGCCCTTCACTGCGAACTTAGCAATAATTTAATACTGAACAGCTGTTGTGGCAGACATCATTGGGTTTGTTTTCATACATAGTGGGTTCACTTGATGAATGTAATGCCGAATTGGCAAATTATGGCCCTGAGAATTTTAGCAGCAGAATAACGGTGAAAATGAAGGAGGGCCAAGAAATTGCTGTTGAAAAGCACAACATCCAGGTGTCTTCATTTTCAGGTACCTTCTATCTTGTTTCATTTTTGTCATGATTGCTTTCATTTGCTTTATCCACTTCAGGGCTTTTTTTTCTGTGCTGTAGCAGCTGCATGAGTTTTATTTGTACAATACCTTGATCCTTATTGTGAAAACTGTAACACTGGTTTGTAATGAAGATGTCATTAAGTTGTGAATTTAAATCCTGTTTGTTTCTTTCTGTACTATTTTTCCTGAAGGTTCTACTGAGCGTGAGTTCCTCACAAACATTGAAACGATTGTCAGGAACTCCTTACCTCATGACAAATTGAAGTCATATTTTGCTGATCCAGAAAGTGCTAAAGAGGCACTCCTGAATAAAGTCACATTATTTTTGTAATGATAGAATGAAGGTATGGCTCAGGATATCACATGATTTGAATGTTTCACTTAAACCAGTGCAACACACAATAATATTTTTTGTGTAGTATGTAGAAACATACACTTGAAAAAATGGTTTAAAAAAATGTTTAAAATATTCCATGAATTTTTAATAATTTGTTCTAGTACTATCAGGACACGGCTATTCCAAACACATTCACCAGAGACTTTGGTTCAAAGCAGGAGACTATTACCCTCACAGGTTCAGGTACATGTTACAATCATTATACTGTTATTTAAAACCTTTCCTTCCCTTTGACTGTGATAAACCAGACAGTTTGAATTAATGACTGCATTTACAACCAATCTACACTGGAAGTTGTGATAGGCTAGCTAACACTGTTAATACAACACCATGACGTGACCATTGTGTATCAAGGGTACATCATTATTGCATCAGATTACTGCATCCCAACTGAGTGAATGTTCCTTAGCATGTAAAGGACACCCAGTGGTTTGTGTTCTTGCATAATAGTCCTCCCTTAGATAGATAGATAGATAGATAGATAGATAGATAGATAGATAGATAGATAGATAGATACTTTATTATAAACACCATTGCAGCCATAGGCTGAATTACGGGATATTTACAAATACTGATGATAACAAAGAGAAAATAAGAAAATTATCTACATCTTATAGACATGGCTAAAAATAAACCTTTTCTTCAAACGCTCGGTTTTACATAGGGGGAGAGTGAAATCACTTTTGCGTCTCAGTGCATATTTACAACTCTTCCTTTGGGGGAGGAGGCTATGGAGACTGTGGGTGGGGTTACAGACGATCTCGCCAAACAGATCGATTGAAATCTTTTCTCTCCTCTCATGAAGTTTCGGTAGGCCAACTGTTTCTAGTGCCACAAATCTTCACTGATGTAGTTTGGTAGAGAACGATGGAATACAGGTCATGCATATTCCAGGACGGGCCTAATACATGTCACATAGAATTGCACCAGTTCACTTGGTGCCACTCCGGATCTCTTGAGTTGACGTAAGAAATAGAGACGAGAGGAGCATTTTCTAATTAGTTCAGAGGAGTGCATGTTCCACTTTAAATCGTGGCTAATGGTCACGCCTAGTAATTTGGCACTGGTGACTAATTCAAGGGGTTTGCCATTTAGGACTAGGGGCTCAAAATCGTGGTTGCAGTTGGAGAATCCAATCCGAAGTTCTTTGCACTTGGCCTCATTCAGTTGGAACCCATCGAGACTCGCTTGTCTTGAAAGGTCATCCAGAGCTTCTTGGAGTTTGCTCTCACTACCCTTTGTAACTATTTCGGAACAAGATGTATCATCCACATATTTCCACATGTCAACTGGTGTGACCAAGTCATTAATCATGACAAGAAATAACTAGGGGCCTAGTTTTGTTCCCTGGGGGACACCGGAAGGCACAGAGCTCCATTCGGAGTGACAATCCTGAGCAAGTTTAACTCTTTGTTTCCGGTCCATCAAGAAGTCAACAATCCAACCTTTGACTTGACTCAGAATATCATATGTTGTTAGTTTTTGAACAAGAACACTGTGATCGATAAGGTCAAAGGCCTTACGGAAATCAAGTAGGACTACTCTTGCTTAACCCTTTAAGTCCCAATAGTGACCAACATAAAATTTCTCCCAACCTTATCCATACATTTTTAAGAGATAAGGTATAATGAGACTTAATAAAATGATCACTAAAGAGAAAATGCCTTCATCATTCATTAAATTCTCTCAACTAATGCTTAAATGATGTATGTAGATCACTTTGGAGAATTTGTACCTGTATATTAGGGCTTAAAGGGTTAAAAAGAATACCCCCTTACACTTTGTGATGTGACTACCTAACCTGTTTTCCTTAGAAACTGGAAAAGAAGACTGGAATTCTGGCGGGTTAGGCTACGTGAAATCGAGGGAAGATATGTGGAGCTGTCAGAGAAGTGTGTTGGTGGGTTGGTTGCTAAAGGGAAACGAGGAAAGAAAATTAAGGCAGAAGGTGGACAATGCTGATCTTTCTCAGCTATCTGATTATGCAGCAGAAGTGTTCTACCAATTTTTTAAAGGTAATCAAATAATCAAGTCTTTTTTTTTACTTTAGAAAATAATTGGAAGACACATTGGACAGTTTTATGAGAAATAAGATATGGGGCAAAATCCAGACACGTTAAGTTAAAACTAGTCAAGCTGATTTTGCTTTTTTGAGCACAATTCTTAACTTTAACAAGTGGCAGTTACAAAACACAGGTCACAAGGGAAGGTCACTGCATGCTCTTATAAAAAAGCTGAGATAGGCAGTTTCCCCTTAACTTAAAACACCTCATTTCAGTTTGTAATTTGGGCTTTTTGTATAATAATTATTCATTTTGATTCAGGTTTACACTGACTGGAAAGACATTTCTGAAGTTATTAGAAGTGTAGTCACTGTGTCTTCGTGGAAGATCAGCAAGATTTAATTGACATTTTTGACATACAGGTATGTGTCAGGTAATTCACTTTTAGTAAGAGTGTAAAGTACCATTTGAAAATGAAGTCCTCTTAATGGAAAATATGCATAATGTCTAAAACTATTACAATAATAAATTTAGACAAGAAGGTTAATACAGCTGTAGTGGAGTTTCAAAAATTCAAAAATAATTTCAGTCACTTTAACTGACATTCAAAAACTCATCAATAATCCATAGTGAAAAAACAAAAGAAAGAAATGCTTAATGAGTGTCTATCTGATAAAGGCATGGCTAAACTTTACATCCAATTTTTTAGATTAAAAAAAAACAGATCTAAATATAATGTTATTTCTGACGAATGAGCCCGCGAAGAAGGCAGAAATAAATATTTTGACGGCACGAGATACAACAGGGCCTGGGTATTAGGCCGGGTGCACCATGGGTAGCCATATCGGGGGTATATAAGGCTGCGTATATCACGTGTTCGTCATCTAGGCTTACGAACCAACCTCTCCTTGGTTTTTCTTAACGTTCTTATCGGCTCTTTCTTGCGTTATATCCGTCAGCAAAGACGAAGTGTCCGATCTCATTGAGGAGAATAACAAACAGTTAATGGACTCGTTTAAAGTTTTGTTAACAGAAACCGTTGGTCAAATCAAGCGCGCTAATGAATATTTGGCCGAGCAGCAGATGAAGGAAATTAAGAAACTAAAGTATAACGAACCACGTAAGTTCAAGAAGAAGGCCAACGAAAACCAGTTTTAAAGGATCCACAGTGCAGAATTTTGCGGCCGTGTACCGTACTAGGCCCGTAAGAAGAAGAAGACCACTCAAAAACAGATCCTCGCCAGTGGGAACGCCGGCGTCCACCTCAACTTCACATATGCAACCCCAGCCTCATGTCAAACGTTCCTGTTTTAATTTTCGCCTTCTCGACGACCCAGTGTCGGGACCTGTTTTGCCCGTGGAAAGCGTTCCTGTTACCCGACGATGGACAAGCCAAACATCCCAAACTCCCAAATGGCTAGATGAAGGACAACAATCAGGTGCAGTCTATTCTAATTTAGCACTGAATTTTTTAGGCGGCAAGCCGTAATATGGATCAGGATTGTCTCGATATTATACCAGTTTCTTCTGACGTTCACCCCGCTAGTTTTAGGCGCGGTTTAGAGCTCTGAGTGTACCGTTGATATTTCTATTCTGCCTTCAGTTTGGGGAAGATTTTTCACAGTTATCTATTTCTGGCATACTTTGCTAGTTTCTCTGTTCATTTTGAATGTTTTTAGTCTTAGTTACAAATTCCCTTCTTCCAGCTTTTTATGTTTTTTTTCACAAATCCTACAATGCCTCTGCACGTGTTTACAGTTCTTTTTGTCCGTAGCTGTTAATGAGCTTCCCAGCCTCAACCTCCTTTTAAAAATTTTTGCATTCCAATATCATTTACCCGCTTTCTGTTTGACGCGCCGCTCCGGCTAACAAAGGTTTATCCTGGATTTTAGGCACGTTTGCACTTTTTTCTTCAAACAGAAATTCAAGTGCGAAGACTTGTCCATGGCCACTTACATTTTTGATATGGGTTTTTATTTATTCATATTTTACCTCTAGTGCGGTTATCGTAATTTTCCCTGATCACCAGTATTTCCTTGCGTTCACCTGGGATCTCGGCACCTGGGTTTTTAGGTATTTTCTACTTTGCGCGCTTCCCTTTGGGTTCTTGTCAGCCTCCCTCAATCCGCTTCAGAAATCTAGAAGAAGCCAAGGTATCCCTATTGCCATTTTTCTTGACTATGGTCTAGCTATAGGAGGAGGAGCCTATCGCGTTCAGGCCTTAATTTACAGTTTGCGGGCTGTCCATGCCGATTTGCTTTAGTCTCGCTTTGTTCGAATTCCTATGAGGAAAAGTCCCTGTGGGAGCCCGTTCGAATTTTCTAGTGGCTTCGCGTTCATCTCAACATAACACTCTGGATGGAAGTATTAGAGCCGCGGATGAACGCATTGCTAGATTGTCTCGCGACCTGGCGGCTTTGTCTCCATATTAGTCGTCC